TTTTTTGTTTTATAAAGTATTTCCCCCCCCCCAACGGACCCTTATTGTATCTCGTAGGAATGGAATAAAACCATAAATCTTGGGTGACTAGGCCACTCTATGATTAGGGATAAAAAAAATCTATGTTAACTACTCCAAGCCCATTATTAATTATTTTGGTGATATACAAAAATATTAATAATGTGCATAAAAAGATTTAGTGTACTTTATATAATATGATAGTCCAATAGGGTTAAGAACCCTTCAACTTGAGGAAAGGTACTAGTCCAAATACCTTCATTGTGGCACATTTTAGATGTAATGATATTAAAAAGGCCACCATGGTTTATAGTTTGTTACTCCTAATTTAAGAATTTTAATGTAACAAAAATAATGCATGAAGAAAAGTATATTCTCTTTTGTGCCTTATAGGAGGCATGTCTAAAGGTAGGATATCATGTATTGGCTCTTATGGTGGCTACTAGATTCATGTAACGTGCAAAGTTCTTAGGGTAGATTTAATATATCCTAAACAAGGCCCCCAAGCCACTTCCATAAGAGAGATGAAAAATCTACTTAACTATTATAACCCTATGAGAGTTTAATAACCCTTCAAGGATTAAATTTGTAAAATAAATATCGATTTAGGTGAAGTATTCACGATGCCTTCAAGGGACTTTAAAGTCCCTCAGGGAAATCGTTACTAACTTTTATTAACTTAGGATACTCTCAAACCCAGGTATAAGGCCTAACATGTGTGTGAGGTTGGATGTGTGAGTGCTCAATGTGTGTGGAGAACGTATAAATTTGTTAACCAAGAAACTACAAGATATCACGAAAGTTAAATAATCTAATCAAGAGAGTAAAGAATACAAAAAAGTTTAAATAAAAAAATAAAAAAAGGATAATTAAAATAAAAAAAGGCCAAATAAATTCACACAGTTAACTTGAATAGGCTTGACTTTTTTATGTAAGTCCCCAGTGGAGTCGCCAAATTGTCACGCTCGATCTGGAATTTCTTGAGAAGGAAAATTGAATAAACATATAAATATTTTAGGAGTTGCCATCAAAATTTTACAAGTAATTTTGGAACCCTTTTTAACGCGTGGTCTACGTATAGGGAAAAGGGTAAGGAAGTCGATTGTATGTAGGGAAAGTGTTAAGAACCCCACAATATCCATTCATGTGAATGGTTACCTTAAGTTAACCATATAAATTTAAGTGGCCTTAAAAATATTAATTATCCTTAAAAATAAGATTAAAAAATAATAAAATTAAAAAGGAAAAATTTTATTTATTTATAAGTTGGACTTGACTTAAGATGAAACCTTAAGGCCTATGTACCCTTTTGAAAGATCAAAGTTTATGTAGTTTGGGATAAAAATGCATGTCTCTTGGTTGAGATTTTTTAGGAAAAATATTAATTTGTTATAAAATAATTTTTAATGTTGGTTTTTAGTTTTTTATTTATGAAAAATATTTTATTTCTTTATTTGTGACAAAATATTAAGGGATAATTTTGTGAAAAATATTTTAATAAGATTTAAGAAAAGCTTCATACTTTCACCTTTCAAAAAAATATTTTATTTTATTTTATTTTTTTTTAGGAAAATATTTTTTACTTAAGGATAAAATGTTTTAAAATGTACTTGTGATAATTTATCACTGTGTAGGATAAATTATTTAATTTATAAATCTACGGGGATTCTGAAAGTCTCACACAATTGATAATTTTAAAATTATGTACATGCAATAATTTATCGTTATGCATTAAATAGATATAAATTTGGAAGGCTACCAAAATATTAATAAAAATTATTGATGAAATAAAATTGAATATGTGTAGATGCCCATGCCTTATTCACCAAGAGAGTGAATAATTTTATCTAGTTATGGGATCATGCACATGAAGACAAAGGAATAGGATTCAAGATCAGATGAGAAAAAGAAAAGAAATACATAGGGATTATAACAAGTTCACATCATGTTATCATTAGGAGAGAAAAGAATTCCAATACACATAGTAGTTAGCAGAGATTAAAATCAAGCTTGTAAGCAAAGGTTTAAATTCCTAAAGTGCTAAGGCCTAATGGAAGGTAAGCTTACATCTATGAATCTCAGTTGACTTGAATCTTTATCGTTTCCTCTTTCCTTCCTTGAGTTTCTCTCTCACTCCCATATGCTCTACCGTTTCTTTCCTTTATATAGACCCATTCATCTAGGGTTTTTCTCATATCTCAATCCTATCGTGATCAATATTAGTATTTTATATATTATTATTATTATTATTTAGAGATTGAATATTAATTGTTATCTTTCCTATTATTATATCTTGATTATTATCTTGTTTTGAAATCTTCTAATCTTAATATTAGATATTAAGTTATCTTGAAATCTTCAAATTATAATATCATATTATATTATATTCTGATTATTTCAATTATTATATTGTGATCTAGCTTGAATATTTTTTTTATCTTTATACCCAACTTATATATATATATATATTTTCTTGTTGTTAAATATTATTTTTTATTCTTATTATTTTCATTTTTATTTATTTTACTATGGATATTATCTTATTTATTTATTAGGACTCGAACAAAATATGGTATTCACAATAATAATATAACTGTCAAATATATACTAAATACTTGACAATTGTTTTGAAACAACAATCAAGTATTTAACACTTTTTTATTTGTCATTTTTAACTTATAACTGTCAGATATATGACATCATATTTAACTTATTCTGTTATAATGAGTTTTCACTTGACCTCCCATTAAACTTAAGTTCACCACTTGTGTTGCTCGTCTCTAACTCTCGAGCTCAACCTCTCCAATCCACTCTCCTCTTATTGTCACTTATCAACACTCTCATCACCAACATTACAATATGAAGTTGAAGATTGAAGCTAAAGGCTTGACTCTGCCCTACTAGTGACTCTTCTCCCTCTCCCTTGTGCCATGATCTCCTTCCACTCCAAATCCAAAGTTGAGGCTAGCAGAGTTGTCATCACCATTGCCTCAAACTCAAGAAGCCCCAATCATTGCCTCTGCTTCTCTTTGCATGCTACTTTTCCAAGTAAATTCTTAAAATTTGCATGTAATTTTTTTATATTTCTTTGTTAAAACATTAATCATATTTTGTTCTCCTTAAAGGATCAAGTTCCATTATAATAATAAAATCACATCATGATTCTACATGGAAGGGGTAAATATATAGCATTGTTAAAAAAATAGAGAATAACATATAAGACCTCTTGCAAAAAAGAGAAAAACTAAACAATTTATTGTCCTTGAAAGTTAAAACTTGTTAACCTCCAGAATTTTATGGCATTTCATCACATTTTTCTTAGATTCTGATATATTTTATCTTATTTGTATATATTTTAATTATCCAAATTAAAAAAATGTGCATCTTGTTTTGGGTTTACACACTTGGCTTTAATTCGAAACTTTGGAGTTAAGTTTATGTTATTTTGGTTTAAAGTTTAATTAGATATATTTTTGGACATTTGTTGATGCCTTTGAAAGGCTTTTGGATGAAGAAATCAATTGCTTAAAGGTTAAGTTTCATTAACAGTGAAAACAATGCAAAATTGCAAAGTCGTCCTAATGTTGTGATTTTCGTTCGTGACTTTTACCTCTATTAGTAAAACGCTCCATTTTATTTATCTGAAAATGCTTGGGTAGGATGCATGTATATTGAGAGCTCAACCCAAAATGTATTCTACACACTTGAAGACACTTTGGGAGCTTAGTTGTGCTAGGATTTAAGATTTGGATAAGTTGAGTCCAAGGGTTGAAGCTTTAAAAATATTTGAAGCTTCATTTCTTTGATTCCTATATTTCTTCTCCATTTCTCTCCTTGTAATCTAATATGGCTGTGAATATTTTCTATATTTATAGCTTTTTGATATTTATGATTAGCTAAACTTTTTGATTTAGGATTATTTTAAACCTTTATATGAATTAATACTAAGTTCCTCCTTTCTTTTTGTGATTAATGATATATATGTATTTATTTTACTTCTTCATTAATGCTTATAAGCATTTAGCCACCATTTAGATATTTGGTTAAATTGATTGATACTTGAGAGGATTAGGTCAAGTATAGAACTTGAGTAAAATAGTACAAGAACTTAATATTGGCATGTTAAATGGATAGTTTTGCTAGTAAGATAGAGATATATTTGCTAATATTGCATAGCCGTGTTAGGGTTGGTGTTTAAAATTGGGTTTTCTTGATTGCAACAAGAGATCGAGCAATTAATTTAACTAAATACTTGTTCATGACTTGAGAGAGCTTGTTCGAGTGTTTTTAGAATCCTAGGTTAGCATTTATTTTCATTTAAAACATTTATGAGAGGAGGTAATTTTGGAGTAATGAAATGTAAGCGAGATAAATAATCTTATGTCCCAATTTATTCTTAAAATTTGTGAATCATTCTGTTTTCTTTATTTTCTAGTGTAAATTAATTTGAAAATAAACTTCACCTAATTATATTTTGCTCAATATAAATGTACCATTAAACATGATAATGATATAAAGCAATCCAAAATTCATCACTTATCAAGCAAGCAGGAAAATATGTTTCAATGAATTCTATTAAAAAAGAAGAGCAAAAAACAATCTCTAAAAAGAAATGTCAATGTGTTTACTACTAAAAAAATAGGTTATGAGAGTGCCCATACAAGAACATTTTAAAGATAAAACGTTCTTAAAACATGAGGCGGAACATACCAGAGTATTTCTAAATAAAAAAGCTCTAACAGACTATTGTCTTCGAGAGCATTTACGGGTTGAAAAGCACTTGTAGGTGTTTTTAAATTTTTTTTTTGGACAAGCTTATAAGAGCTTTTTGGATAAAAAATGCCCTTGTAGATCAAAGCTTATGGGAGCGTTTTTTTAGTTTAAACGCTCCCATAAGCCCAATATGTTTTTTAATTTCAGATTTTTTTAACATTTTGATGCTTCAGTTTTTACCCCAGTGCCCGCTCTATTCGAAACCCTTATTCAACTTCACTTCAGTAATTTCCTCGCTATTCTTCTCGTCCTTTGCTGCTCAAGCTCGATGCCTTCCCCCAAACTAGATCTGCGACCCAAACCAGATCTACTGCACTAAGCTCGCCATCGGTCGTCTTCCTTTAGCTCGATGTTGCTGCTGCTCGTCGAAGACTTGCCATCGTGTCGCTACCGTGTTCTGCTGAAGCTTGTCTCTGATGCCATTTCTGGTGAAGCTCTTCTTCCCTAGCTCGTAGAACACCTGTCATGTAGCTCTTCTTCCAAATTCGGTCATCTATTCACCATTTCTTCAGGTTCAGATTTAGTCACCGTGCTCTTTTTTGTCTTCTCTTCTACTTGCCTTGGCCCTCAGAATTTGTAAGGACCTAAGGATTGGTTGAAAGAGCAAAAGAAAAACGTAAGAAAAAAAATTATAGCCATAGCTTAGCAGAAAGAGTAAGAACCCGAAAATGACCGATCCTTTTCTTTGTGGGCTTTTCTTCCGGTAATTAAACAATGCAAGCTCTGTTTCGTCTTGCAGGTTAGAAGGGAAAAGATTAGAGAGAGAATGAAATACTTGCAAGGTTTAGTACCAGATTGTAACAAAATCACAGGAAAAGCAGGCATGCTCAATGAAATCATCAATTATGTTCAATCTCTTCAATGACAAGTAGAGGTTAGACATTACCCACTTCATCATTTTCCGTTAGGTTGAAGCTACAAGCAAAGACACTACACAGATCCAAAGGGCATGTGACTCATTATTCTGGATCTCGTTTCATTTTTTAACTTTATTTCCTAGAACATTCTTTTTTTATTGACTGACTTCCTAGAACATTCATTGGCTAGTTTCCCATGAAATTTCGTTAGACAATTTATTTTCTTGTTTGCTTCCAAGCTTAAAAATGTGTGCATGCTGTGTTACTTTTGTAAATGAGCCGTTTTTTTTTTTTTTTTGTGAGAAAGGACCTGTTGATCATGAGATATGCCTTTCATGCTCATTGATAGATACCGACTTCTCAATTGATAGTAAATAGATTTTGACATGGGATTTTATATGGAACATTGCTTTATCAAAACTTGGTGGCTTCATCTGATTAAAGGTGGACGATGTTCTTCATTTTAATTTCTATGAATAGAGAGGGTTAAGACCATGTAGATGTAAGAGTGATTTTCTGCTTAAAATATGCCCTTTTCTGTAATGGCAGGAAATGATGAAACATTGAACTTTTTGAACAAATGTTGTTGGATCATGTTGCTTCTATAGTTGAGTTTTCCTACTTAGGTGTAGTCGCCAGAAAGCTTTTGTTTTCGCATTTTGTTTGTGAAAAATGCCCTTGTTTGTAGTTACTCTTGCATTGCTATATTCAAGTGACCACCTCTTCCCCTTTAGCGTTGTTGGCTATTCATGAGGTGCTCATTTCAATTAAATTTATTGGGTATACTTTCATGCAGGAATTTCACCAAAAGACAATTGACATGGTTTCAAAATGAACATATATACCACTAGCTTAATGCTTCTAAACCACTGGTATATTCATTTAATTTTAGTTTATTGCCATTTTGCTTTTTCTCTTATAGTTGCGGGACAAACAATAAACTATCATGATAAAATCTTTCATCTTATTTATCTCAGAGATTTACAAAACTGGTTCATAATCTTGTATTGAATAGCTTATTGCAGGACACTATTGTAGACTTTATCTATGAATCTTACCATGATAAGAGTGGAACTCTCATTGTTCCTGAACAGTTGAGAATGTCTAGAGATGTTTCTAATGGTCGAGAAGCTAATGACCTCAAGGTCCACTGCTCCAAAAATAGGTATATTTTTAAGAAGATGAAATGATGACGACGTCCCCTTGCCTTGACTCCTCTGATCTTGACATTGAATTTGTTGCGTAGGCTTTTGAATAATGAAGATTGCTTTATTCAAGAAAAGCTTATACATTTTCAACCCATTCTCATTGAATTTGTATGGATTGCAGCAAATTCTTCCATTTTCATTATGTAAAGCTGATTTGCTGAACCTGTACAATGTGGCTTTTGATCAAGCCAGAACAACCCTGACGTCCTTTCCTTCTCAACCATTAACAAGTAGCTACAAAATTCATGTACTGTCAAATCACTTTTTTCCCTCTATAACCTGATATCTTAGAACTTGAAAGTAAATATAAAGTAGGAAGGATTTTTTAATGTTGTGACAGAGACATGAGACTAAGAGCGGAGAGCCCTCCACTGATATTGATGAGTGCATATGAATTGTGAGACCTTTTTTTAATCTTTCTGACTCTTCTTTCCCTTTCCCACTTCTTTCTCTCATAGAAATAGCAAGTAAAGGTGGTGTAGACTTTTTGACCCAATGCACGCAGTATTTAATGCTTCTTGGTGTTTTTGCATAGCATGACAAAAGATATACTTAGCATATGAATATCACATTAATTAATAATTTTTCAATACATCATAATCATGGGGTTAGGATTAAGCATCTGGAATAGAAAATTGATCTTTGACTTGCTTAACATAGACTTGTTTCTGAATGTCTTGTCATGGTATATACGTGCAGGCGTAATTGAAGCTAGCAATCTAAAGATGGAGATGTGAAAAAGCTGATGTTATGCTCCAGCTTGTTGGATGAGATAAGTGAATCTGAATTTAGTCCTAGCCTTCACAAAAAGGATGTTTTTTGCATCTTTGAGAAAAAAATACAGGCTCAAAGTAATATGCCTAATGTTATACATTTTTTTTGAAAAAATTTATCTCAATGGGACATGAACAGAGAGGTATGGACTTTGAATGATGTGTTTTATTCATAATTAATATGATATTTATGGTTTAACTAATTTATTTTTCTTTATATTTTGCAGATAGAATGTGAACGAGTACTTTGCAATTAAGTAAGAATAGTGTTAGATGTATTTATTTGTACCATGTAAGCATGAGAGTATTGCAAATGTTTTTAATTTCATAGGTTGTAATCTACATTATAATATTGTGTATATTATAGTATTGGAAATTAGTTAGTTGAACTTTTGTATATAATGAAATTGCTTGTATATTTATATTAATTTTATAAATAATTTTTTTTATATTAGTCATGATGTACAATGCATGAAGAGAATAAAAGATGAGTTCAATATTTTTTTAGAAAAATAAACCTATGGGAGCATTTCCTAGAAGAAAAGCTCCAATAGGGATCTATATGAGAGCATTTATGGGCATAAAAGCTCTCATATGGTCAACCTACGTGAGCGTTTATAAAATGGAAAAGCTCCCGTGGGATACCTGTGGGAGCTTCCACAGGAGATTTTCCTACTTGGAACGCTCCCACAGGTTTTCCCTACAGAAACGTTTGAAAAATGCCCTTGTATATACAAGAGCTCCTGTTTTCGGAGCGTTTCCAAGATGCTCCGATAGTATAAAAAGAAACACTCCAAGAAGCTTTTTTTGTTGTAGTGGTTCAACCTATTGGAAACCTTCGAAGGGTGTTGCAATTGTATAAGTTGAAGGATTAGAATGGGCTTGAAGGCATTCAATTTTTTTTTAATGATTTTAAAAATAGTAGTTACAATCATTGACCATAGAGTTTGATAGTCCTCCTAAGAAATGGATAATTTCCCACAGTTTCAAATTTATTCGAACCATATAACAATCATAGCAATATTAATATAGTTCTCCATCAAGAAACTATTCCAGCTAGGTTAGCTACTTCAAACATAAAAAAGTATTTAAAATTAAATGCAAACAGTTTTTTCCCCAACGATTACAAACTTGTCCATCTATTATCAACATGATTCTTCAAAATTGCTTACCTCACTGACATGAAGGCAGAGTCTAGATGTAGAGTGAATATCTCATAGCTAGCTGCATATTAGAAATGAAAATGAAGGGGTGAGTCAAGGAGATTATATTAGTGAATATGCATCAATAGAGTAATATCACACACACACACACACACACGTTTCTTACATATTATTTGACCCTAGTATGACCCTAAAATTGAACTTATTTAAATTATCTTTCACACACCCACAACATTTAATAATTTATCTAAATGAATCATCAGGAAAAGTTCAATTGGTGCAGAGTTTGGTTCTTGTATCCAAGATTTGCAAAAATAATTATGTTAGTTAAAAATTGCACATATCCATTAAGGGAAATGCTTCATTATTATATTTTTTTCTAATAATAAAAAATACCTGTGATAAATTGACGATGTCATTTCTCATTTATGCTATCATTGTAGACTACAATCTCCTTTCCTTTAGCTTTTCTATCATCTTCTGAACCTCCTGAGATTTCGTCCCCATTGATGAGATTCATATTTTGTTGTTGTTGGCATTCTGACATCCGAACGCAAATTAAGATGAATTTGTCTTAACTTTCATTTGTTCAACTTACATTAATATAGTGAAATATTTATAGTTCCATGAAATCTATAGGTCTATTACTTGTTGGAATTGCTTGTTCCAGATCAATCGAGTTCATATTCAAACCGCAGAATCAATTGCAACCAATTATAAACTTGAATGTAATTTCATATCAATTCAGAGGAATAGAATAGAATGTGAAAGCATACCTGAACAGATAAATCCATAGTCACAAGATTCCACGTGTTGATGGATTGGCGTACTGTGATCTTCCAAATTATAAACATTGCAAACTTCCTTATGGTTCTCTGGAAGAAGTCAAAGAATTAGTTTCTTCTCATGCTCAATCTGAGGATCACAACCTCTATTTATAGACTTAAGTTTGTGTTATCTATGGTTTGGCCTTCAACAAATTATAAATATCACTTTGGTCTCTATACATTAATTCCATAATAATTACACCTCCTTAAGCCTTAAAACTTTTTCAAGTAGACCACTTTATTTAGGCTAAATTATAATAATGGCCACACAGTACATTTTTTATTTTTACATGTGTGGCCTCATATATTAATTTTGTTCCAACATTACCTTGTTGACTAGTTGGACCCTTGGGCAATGGTGTCTCCCAGCAAGAACGCAATGAGAGCTACTTGTTTTCTTCAAAAGTGTGACCTCTTATAGTTACATTATTCTTTTTAAGAAATCTGCATATATACTATTGAGTATACTTGTTGATATTACCATATCATATATGCATGTACCTTGGTGTCATCACCACCATGCTTTGTAAATGGTAACACTGGTAATGAAGTATCATTTGCATTCAGATTGTCAAACATTGCTTCAATAGAAAAATTTAAGGAGAGCCACTTATATCCATTGTTTATATCATTTTCTGTCACACAACAGTATATTTGTTGTGCTTAGATAGAGTTTTGAAGCACCTTTGAGTTATTAAGTTGAATAATGAATACAACTATGTAGGCCAATTATAATAGTACATGTAACCTATCTTGGTTGGCTATGGCATTAGCATATACCTAAAAGTCATGAAGGATTAGGACAAGTAAATTAGGTTTTTACTGCTATTATATTCTCCTTTATAGTCTTTTACATAAGATGCCAGTGGAACTTGAAATGCATGAAATGGTAAATAGAAAGGATAAAATTATAACATAAGGAAATATGTAATATATAAAAAGTTGTATTCATATAGAAATTGTTAAAAATGTAGTTTAATATTGAAGCCATTGGCTTGAATTTGTACCTTGATTATTAATTATTTCACTAGCAGCATCGGCAAATTGGATTTCAGGTGTGATTTTGTCAATCTCATTATGATTGATTGAGCAATTTCTTCCTCTCTTTGTGCATCCACGGGTACCTGAACTCTGCAAGTAAAATGTCATAAATTGAAACTCAATTAACAAGAAAGTCCAAAGTTATATGAAGTGTTAACATAACACAAAAAATATATGAGCTTACTGAGGCAATATTGTCATCCCCCATCAACATCCGTTTCTTGCCAAGTGCTAGTTCTTCCTCATTCATCCTTGTACCGAATTGTTCTATTGAAAGACAATTATTTTGTTCAAATTACATCGATTAGTGCTTTACAATAGAGACTGAGAATAAAATTTTCTTAGCAGTTAATTTGCCTACGTTCCTTTAACTGTTATGACATACATATTTAGTTTTAACTGAAATATTTCTTGATATATTTCAAACTATAATTATCTGCCTAAGTCACACACATGATTTTGTCTTGACATTGCTAATTGGACATTATGAATTATGATCAAGAGAACTTTAAATAAATAAAATCATGCATATATCAAAATTATGTGTGAACATACAAAATTCAGCAACAATGGGCTTGTTTGTTTTCAGATTTTAAAAACTGTTTTTTTATTTTTAAAAATAAAAATTTTAAAAAACCTGTTTGAATAAGTATTATCAATCTAATTGTTTTGAAAACTAATTTTTTTTGTTTTTTATTTTTTTAAAATAGAAATACCGTCAAGTTGTTTTTATTTTATTTTTCTTATTTTCAAAGCTCATTCTATTTGATTATTAAAAATTATAGTTACCTTGACCAATTTCTATAATAAATTACTATCATTAACAACTTATAACAATTACTATCAACCTATTTTTTAATTGTAAAACTGCTTTTTAAATAACATAACTAAATATTTTATTTTGTTTTCAAAAACATTTAAAAATTATATTACAAAAGAGTTTTTTAAAACAAAAAATAGAAACAGAAACCAAACGGGCCCAATGTCTCTATTACGAGACATTTTTTTCTGGTGAATAAATAAATGAATGAGGTATATATAGTTATTTCTAGCAATTATTGCTCATACTTTTCTATATATTCAATGTCAAAAACAACCTGTTTCTTGGGCAAAAATGGATCTTTATAAGTTTAAATGGTCAGATAACAAAATAAAGAGGAAAATAATAAACATGGAGACGTTAAGTAATTGTCTGGCTTCTATTTTTAAAAAACAAAAACTTGTTTAGATAAGCATTTTGAATTTAATTGTTTCCAAAAATGTTCTCATGAAAATAAAAAATAGAAACATTTTAAAACTATTTTCATTTTATTTTTCTCATTTTCAAAATACATTACATTTTATTAATGAAAATTACAATTATCATGACCAATAATTATCATAAGCCACCATCTAAGAAAGCCCTAACAAAAGATATAAGTTAAGGTTCAGCTTTTAATAATAATAATTGATGTTTTCACAAGATAATATCCCTTGAGAGGGCTTGAACATCATTCCCCCTATTTATTTGATAGTTATCATGTTCTAGACTAACCTTTGCTCCAAAAAAATCTCTCAAGTATCATACAAATGAATGCATATGTGCGCGCATGGTGATTTAAATTATTAAATCCATGACCTTTGAATTGGTATTAATTGCTTTTATGTTATATGATTGACACTACTGTCGAATAGCACCAAAATTAATAAAAACTAGATTTTGCAGTAAAGTGCAACCTAGGTCGTCTCCCTAAGAGTCAATAGAGTAACTATTTAAATTATGATTATGAAAAGGTAAATAATGGGGGGGTTTTTTTATGATGAAATTAAAAACTAAATTATAAATAAATAAATAGAGGAAATTCAATTAAGAAAATTACCGACAACAAGCAGCGCAATCAATCACAACCCAATCACCTAAATTTAACCTTCCTCGTCTACAAAATAAATTAATTTTATTCAACTTTATTATTTTGGTTTCATTATAATATTTCTCAAATTATCATTCAAGAATTAAACAAGAAGTTAAGTTATAGATTAATTGAAATCTCCTTTAACCCACAACCTAACAATTGTTTTATAGCCACACCAAAAACAAAGCATGGATAATCACCCAAGCCAAGCCAAATTACTCTTACAATGCTATATCAATCGATTATAGCAATTAAAACCTCAGATAAAATTTATAACTCAAAAATTATGCAATAAAGCTACTCTAATCAGTAATAGTAATTAAAGCATAAAATTTAGAGGTAGAGAGAAGAAGAGAAAATTGGAATAAAGCTAAAATAAAATCTTTCCTGAATATTAAAGACTCTGATTAAAATTTAGGATCATGGTTTGTGATTGATCACACCAAAAAAAAATTAGCTCTCCATAGAATTAAAAATC